TAGTTGAAATATGCATAACCTTTTGTTGTGCGAAAACTTTTTTAGCAACCATAGCAACCTGTGCTGGCTCGACAGTTGTTCGAATTTTTTCTGCAAAACGTAAAAAAAAATTAATAATTCTCTGACCAATTTTCCTTCAGTAAATGGCTGACGAGCATTTGGTGCAGTGGCAAATACTGTTGCCCTCGTCCTGCAGATTGCGGGTTTTGCCTAAGTCAGTGGGATACAGCAGTTCCTCTGTGCTTATTGCTTGTTCGTTTCGATGATAAATCGGTACTGATGCATGTCAAGTAGCCAAACCCGCTGTCAACTATCCGAAGAAGCAGCAGTCTGTAGCACTTTGTCATCGATGGTTGATGTTGGCACTTGCTATCACTCGAGCTTAGTTCCAAGTGGCTCTGTATTCCATACAAGAAAAAAATGGGAGAAATTTTGACTTCTGATCAGATAATTTAAAAATCCTATCAAAAAATCAATCGGGAGCTCTTATCCGTACAATTTCATTATCTTCAATACCTTGCCTATCGCAGTTACTTCAGGTTTCTACCTATACGGATTCTTTACGCTGACTCCTGTAACTTCTCCAAACTACGATAATTGTTATGCGAAGAAGAATATCATTTGGTGGGTGAACTAGAAAAAAACCAACAAAGCTGCACAGCAAAATAGTTTGCGGAAAAACCAGCAAAAAAAGAGAGAAGAATGGAAAACAGGAAGTTTATGTGCTTTTGATCATCAGATGAAAAACTCCCAATCACAAAAATTTTGACTTTTGATCATCAGATGAAAAACTCCCAATCACAAAAATTTTGAAAACGTTGCCCAAATACATCAAGGTGATAAGCTATGCCGGTAAAAGTAATTAGCTGAATATTAGTCTCGTCACTGCTAACCCTATCGGTAAAAAGAAAAAGTAGTTTTTTATTAAAAAAATAAAGAAAAAAAGAGATGTTAATCAGTTACAACCCTCACCAATGCACTTATCATCAAGTCGTAGTGCATCAAAAAGTCGTTGATATGCATAATGTTCAACTGATCGATAGCGTTCACCTTTCATTTCAAATGTAAGTGCATAATAATTACTCAAAGGCCGGAAAATACCCTGGAATTATCACGATAAAAATGGAAAATCGCTATTTTGTGAATGGCGAAAACAAAATTCAAGCAATACTGTATTTTTGTAATAGGAACACAACTAAAATAATAAATGTTATTTACTGATGTTCCACTGCTTGGACGCTATACTTATTAAGGCAAACAACACACACACGAATAAGAAAATGTGCAGCTAAACTGAGGAAGAAGGAGATGGATGGCTTTCGCCGAGTTACACGTCTTTCTTTTTAACAAAAACACATGGTTTTTGCAGAAACAGTTTCCAACTCCGTCATACTCTCAGTTGCAAAATGCATTCGCTTTTGAATTTGCGTTAAAACTAAATTGTCATGTCAGCGTGCAGGGGATTTCACCTCAAAGCCGAACTAAGACTACACGTGAATATAGAATTCCTCGTGTCAATTACAGTACATTTTCGCGGGTACCATAGCTACTCCTTCCGGCGTAAACATTTTATCAAGGTAGTGTACGTTAAAAGAAAGAGCTGAGATGGTTCAATGGCAAGAATGAGAGAGAACAGATGGACAGAATCGAATTTCCGAATGATTACTTATTCCCACAATGTTACATCAACAAAGAAGAGATCGCCGATGCAATGAAAGGATCCAAGTAAAGGCCCACGTAGAATCATGAGTATGAGGAGTGGCTCAAAACCGAAAAGAATGGAGAAATGCCAGCTGCATCAATCGCGGAAAAGATGTGACAATGAAAAAAACTTATCAAAAACTGCGATTAAGAGAATTAAATTGCCAAAACTGCTATAGTAAATTCAAAATAGATTAGTAAATTATAATTACTGTGAATATACTATATTGTTTAATAAAAAAGGAAAAAACATCATCATCTACGCCGACGGTGGTTATTTTTGGCATGTCGGGCTGCTTCTGAATGCTTCACTTTCACACAGAGAGAATACGAAAGAAATTTTATCCTCGACTTAAACAGAAATTCTTAAAAAATTACCTGAAGTGACAAAACCAAGTCCGATGTGGTCATTTTCAGGGGAACACCACTCTGATCCGTTGAAATACCATCCACTTCGATTGGATTTGTGCTCAGCAGTGCCGCTCTTTTCTTCTCCGATACTTCATATCTGAAAAAAAGGGTATTTTTTACAGTTTTTCTGTACATTTTTCTTGCAAAAAAAATTGGCCAACGAACGGGCTGCCCGTGCGAAGATGCGTTTTTTGCAGAGTTCCCTGCAGTTTTTGTCGCTACCGGCAT